CAAAATAACCTCTTGCATCAACTCCCTAACCCCCCAACCCAACACATACACACACGGACGCACACACACACATATCATCGAACTGAGTCTAGCCTGTCTTGACAGATCCCCTCTGCTTTCCCACCTGATGGGACCACCTGAGTGTGTTTCCCTCAGGCTGAAATCAAAGAGGGCCAGATAGCCCTTTGGGATGATTACACTGGGCCCTGCTTATACTACTTTAAGTCATTGTTCTGGCAGCAGAATGCACACACGTCAGTCTTGTTGGGCTGATGGGCTGAATAAATGAATGAATTACTGGACACTGAGAGAACAACTTTAAGGTCTTTACTGATATGAAAGGAATAGTTTTATTACTCTCCAGTACCAGTGTATGCGTATATATGTCCATTAAATTACACAGAAGACTCAACTAAATATAATTTCATTTTTCAGTACTTTGTGTGTCCAAACGTTCTTTTTTATTAAAGCGTCCATTCTTATCGATAAGATGGCTTTCAGTTTTTTCAAATGAATTCTGCGGGGATATTTTTCCACACGTTCAAAGTTCAGTCGTAGAAGTTGGTTCAATTTTCTTTTTCTCATGATCCAAGTAATCCCAAACACATTCAGTGATGTTGAGGTCTGGACTCTGGGGTGGTCAGTCCATTGTTATGAGAATATTAGCAGCTATCTTGTTTGATTTGCAAATGTTTGTCTTTTTTGTCTATTTCCTTTTCTCAGTAACAACTTCTTGACAGCTCATAGCATTGAGTCTTCTTCTCACAGTGGAACAATGGACAGAAACACGTGGAATTTTTCAGATCTGAAGCAAGAGTGGAGCTTGATTCATCTCTCAAAGATGAAAGCTTTAAGTACCGTTTATCTGATGGTGGGTTCCTGTTGTCTATCAGTTATTGCACGGTTGTTGGAGTCCCATTTTCTTTGCATCTTTTCATAGTATTTTAAACTCCAGTTTTGGGTTTTCTCAGAAATATCTCTTAAAAATATGTAACTTGTACTTAATGGCCGTTTAGACTGGAAATACAACAAATGAAGGATGGCCCCTGAATTTTGTGCTCTCTCTCTCTCTCTCTCTCTCTCTCTCGCTCACTCACTCAGGGTGATTGGGCCTAGTTAAATCAGAACATCCAGTGACACACCCAAATTACTCTAAAGGGCTTAAATAGAGCAGAGAGACAGAACAGCAAGGCCAAAGACATCTGCCATTGGCAAGAAGTGCCAGGGCCTTAAGCTCAGTAAAATTCCTTGCTCTCTTCTAGCACCACCTGCTGGATAGGACTTTACACTAACCAGTGACAAGCACTATGATTCCAGTGCACCTTATTACAAAGATTACTTTAATCCATTTAGAGCAGCATCAATTAAAGACTGATGTTAGTGTTTAATAAAACTGCAGAATTTCCACACAAAATTCTCTGTACCACAGAAACAAAATAGTAACTGAGCACCATCAAGAACACTCTGTTCTGAGGGCCTCTTTGCACATGTCCCCAGTTATCCAGGTCACAGCAGAGTAAACACTGCTCATCTCAACACGTACCATTCATAACCGCCTGTGTGCCTATGAACGTAGCGGGTTATTGGAGCTGATGGGCTCCAAAGGCCTCTGTTTACAGATCCTAAAGACTATTAACTTTGTGTTAATAGTAAAGCAATAATGACTAAAGTAATATTGATAGCATGAAAACAGGTACTGAGTATTTACCATATTAAGAACTTTAGCTGACATAAATACTGAAACTAAATCCACTGCTTATGAAAAAGTGCCTTAAAATCAAATCAATAAAAAAAATGATGACCTGCATGATGCATTAATTAATTCTTTAATTCAGACAGTTATAGCCCAGCACTGGAGACAAATTACTAGCACAGCATCACTCTTTATTTTTTAAAACCTTTTTAAAGCATCAAACAATTTTACAATTCCCATAATACACAGGCTTGCTTCCTGTAAGAGACTCTTGCCCTGGCTCTGCTCTCTCCGTCCCGCTCGACAGGCAGCGCCCTGGATGGGGCACAGGGCTCGGAGGGGGCTCTCTTCATTAGCTTGCCACTTGGCAGCTAATTGCCGGAGGGGGCGAAAACAAAAAGGACGGTGTCTGTCCTTGCATGCTCTGATTGCTGTGGTACGGGGGGAGGCAAAAGTCTGTGTGCCCAGAAACAAGGGCCTCCCCCTGGCATGGTTCTGTGAAAGAGGCCCCTACTCACCCCCTACCCCTGTTCTGAATGTTTGTTTGGTTGTTTTTGGAGCTCAGGGTGAGCAGGTCCAGGAGAGGGCTACTGGAACCAACATGGCTTTCTTTCTTTTTTTGTTTTCATTTCTCTCATTCTCTTCTTTAAAGGCATCCCTTAATAGATATAAGCGACAAACGTTATTGCTTTTTTAATTCCTTTTTTATTCTTTTTTGTTTTACATTTTTATTAGCCAGAGCTATATCTTTGTACAGTAGTGTTATTCACCTAACATGTAATTTCCAAAGGCTTTCTATTAACTATGTTTCCTAGGAAAGACATTTTTTTCATTGAATCAATGAGATAGATTGTTTCCACTTATCAAGATTTGGCTTTGATACAAAGTGAAGTGAACAGAGTCTTCATCTGCTATTATGTTGGTAAAGCATGTTCAGTTCCCCCTTCACATGAATGAATCTCAACAAGAAACATACTGTATTGCCCTGTGGTTTCATTGACATGTTTTCATTTTCAATCTCTCTCTCTCTCTCTCTCTCTCTCTCTCTCTCTCTCTCCATTTATTGGACGATCACTTACCTTGTCTCTCCCCCATTTTGATAGCCTTTGGCTGCCAGGCAGTGCGATCAGAGAACAACATTATTTCAATTCAAGGAGAAAGAAGTCAAAACATATTAGATGTCTGTCCAAGAAACTAAAAAAGAAGGCCTCATTGTCCATATACTCTGCGAGGTCATGTGAACCGTTTAAAGCTGCACTCTGTCATAAGTTTGATCTCTCTCTCTCTCTCTCTCTCTCTCTTTCTTCTGTTCCTTTGACATGTTTTGCCTTTGTCAGTGCTGCGGTGCGTCCTGGCTGTAGGGCATGTTTCAGATAAAGTGTTGATTCAAAGCCCCATCAGTCAGATGTGCAATGACCTCCAGCAGGTCTCAGTGTTAAGACGGTGCTGCATGCTCACAGTACAGGAGATCCTCCGCTGCCTTTAACACCTTTTGAAAACAGCAGCTGCCCTTTACATTGTTTGTACATCTCATGATGAATGGACCAGTAGAAAGAGGACAAATTACTTGCAATAAAATCTCATTATATTAACATACTAAAGTTAAGAGCATTTAATCTTTTTCCTTATAAAGCTACCATTGGGGAGAAACAAAGTTTTGTTAAGTAAATGATGATTTGCTTTTTAACACAGCTGTGATGTCAGAAATATCAGTTATTGCAGATTCTAATGCATCTTTTCTAAACATCTCTCATAGTTAGTGATAGGTATGAATGTATGTTGTCTATCTGAGTTAGATTGGAATAAATTACACTATAAGGAAGCCAAAGTTATCAGCAATGCTTTTCAGCTACATCTTAGAACCAGATACAAGTCAAAATCTACTGCTTTTACCTGAATCAGCCAAGGAGCTCATCAATCAAATCATTTAAAACAGAGCTTAAAACAGACCTTTAATAAAGGTTTCAGAACATAATAGATCGTGAGTTCATAATTAAAGTAGATACTGATCTAGCCTACCTCCATAAATTACAAAAAATACAAATATAATAAATTACTGATAAACTACTTTTACAACTGCATTGTGAACTGCCCATATTAGGAGGAAAAAAAAAACATTGCTATAAGCGGACTGGCGAGACTCATTATAAATACTGGGCTTGTTATCTTCTCGTCATGTCCACTGATTGCTGCCTGCCAGTATCCCTACTGACATTATGAGCACCCATTATGAGCAACGCACATGTGGCCATCTAGTGGGCAAAAGGTGGAACTACACTTACACGTTTCGGGTATATTTCCTACAGCAGGTGCCGAAACTCCTGTCCAGGGGTGCTAAGCTCTCTGTTCAAATATACTTGATTCAAATTATGTTAGGACCCCTGTCCTACAGTACATTTGAACCGCAATAAAAGTCATTTCTAGAGGTGGGCAGAGTAGCCTAACCCATACCTGCCAGTTTACTCACTTTCCAAAACCACTAGTGAACCTACACGTCTTCTGATTTTTATACGGAGTGCTGATTGTGGTAAAACATTGTAAATCTGACAATAATAATGAAAAAAGGTTTCTTTGTTGACTGTTTTCCCTTAAAACGTCGTGCTTGTACCTGTCCACCGTGAATGGATTAAAAAAATAAGTTTTAGGCCAAAAACCAAAAAAATCTTATCTCAAACTATCACGAAACAATGTCTCAGGCATCAGGGAGCCCATTTTTATCTGTGAGGTACCTTTTAGAGGTATTTAATTCTGACCAACTGATTTCATTATGTCGAAATATTTAAAAATCACTGTAGTTCCCCTTTGATGACAAAGGTAACTAAGGAAAAAAAATCTCACAAATATATTTGAGTAGATTTTGTCCTTGAGTACATGTATATAAGTAAATGTAATTGTTTCTCTGGACATCGCTTGTTCTCAATAACTGAAATGTGCAATTATCACTTTTCCTCACACACACATCATGCCAGGACCCTCCACCGCAACAGTGACACGCTTTTCCACGAGAAATACAGAACACTTTATAATGAACGAGGCTAAAGTTGTCTTCCTATTCGCGGGCATGTTCCTCGAATTTTCCCGTTCCACCTTAAATGGTGCAGCAGTTATATTCTGTCACCTGAGGCGTTATAACAATAACTGCGGCTGTTCAGCCATTTAAGGTGGAACGGGAAATTTCAAACAAAAAGCTGGCAAGTATGAAGCTAACTTCAGCTTGGTTTGTAATGAGGAGATAACAGTGCGCTGATAGGAGGTGTGCCGCGGAGCTGAGGTCCGGTCACCGTGCGCAGCGCAGCGCCTCTACCCGAACATGCCCACTACCGTTACCCGGAAGTATGCAGAATTCCCAAAGATGGCGGAGCAAGGTCCAATGGCGATAGCTATGCGGCTAAGAAATCAGCTACAGAACGTTTATAAACTCGACCCTTTAAGAAACGAGGTGAGTAACGGGGAGCTTCTGAAAATCTGCCGCAGCAGCTCGTAGCGGGAATTCCACCGAGTCCTCGCGCTACGGTATAAATAGGGGTCTCCGCGCGTGCCGCCGTCCGGACGGTGGGGAAGCGATGGAGTGCGCGAGCATGCAGCCGGTGTGCGCAGGCGTGAGTGGGGGAGAAGCGAGCGTGCTGTTGTTCACCCTCACAAGGATGTTTCAGGGGCTTTTCTTTCTTTGGAGTTCCCGGGCTGTTTCACCTTTTTAGGAGCTGCACATTTATTAGTTTATGTGAGGAAATGTTTCCACCTGCCGTCCCCCGCTAGGTCTGAAAGACTGAAAGCGAGTCCATCCTCGGCGACGGGCGAAGATAGCTCCGTTAGCCGGTTAGCATGACGAGAGAACAAGTGCATTTAGTAGGCAAAGCCACCGCCTCCCCTTGTGTTGGCTTAGAGCCGCGCTCGAGTGGAGAAATGAGGAGTTTGTCAGAGAATCTTATTCACAGAGCGAATATAACCAACACTGTTTTCTCTGTAACTGTCCTACACCCTCTCCGCGGTCCTCATCGGTCGTAGGCGCTGTGGCTGAGGCGAACATCGCTCCGCTGTAGTCAGCTGCTGCTTCGAGAGACACGGAAAGTTTGGGCGGCTTCGAGCCCTCCGTGTGAAGCCGTGTCTATTGTTAGGGTCGACAATTAACCGTTATTGAACGCGTAACCTAAAATTGTAAGCTGTTGTGCCCAAACTAGACTTGGACCTACAGCTCTCTGCAGGATGCTGGTGATACTGAGGATCTGCTAATTTTGGCTGTAGAAATTGTAGGTTAGCTACCTGACAGCGGGGTGTTAATACTTAATCAGCAGTGAACGGAGGGGGCGGAGTCCACTTGTATTTTCCCACGTAGCGTTCATGTTGCTTTCGAGTCGTGTTGGGAATATCGGATGTACGAGATGAGCGCACATGAACACCACCACAATGTCGTATTTGCTAGTGGGGAAACTCAGATTTTTCTGTTCGATGAGCGCTAAGTTTCCTACAAAAAATGCAGTGGCACACTGTAAACTTAAATCAGTTGACTTTTTATTAAAAATCATGCAAACTTATTGCTTCGAAAATACGTAAAGTTACTTAACAGGTTCAAGCTTAAGGAACTCTATATATGTTATAGTCACTTTATAGTTTTCAATGATCGACATTTCTGCAGCGAAGTTAACTGAAAACAGCCATTTAAATGGTTTCCATTGAGCTGTCAGTACTTTTTTTAATGTTCTGCTTGATCTTGAATTAGTTTGGTTAACTTGAATCAAATACTCTTCCTTGTGAGTACATGTAGAACACTGACATATTGAATGTTTCATTATAAAGAGAGCAAAATAGTCCCATTTAACTGGAATTAGTGCAACACAGTATGCAAAATATCGAATAAAAACCATTGTATTGTTTTTGATGGTATTTTTTGAATGTAGCACTACTGGTTCTGTTTTCTCAGTTCCAGTTGATCAGATGTAAAACATGACTTGGTGTATTGTGAAATTTCCTGAAGTATGGCAATATTATATTTTGGCCATATCACCCACCTCTAATGCTATGAGACAAAAATAACATTTTGCAAAGAGAAAAAAAACATTACTTCCCGTGCCTCTGACTTTCTGACCAAATGACTTGAACACAAATCAAATCGTACTTATAACCTCCGAAGTCGTAAGTAGGAACTTACTTAACTTACTTCCGAGGAGGACTTGAAAGCAGCTTTAGTGTGCATGTGTTTTATACTGTTTACTTACTGTCTTGCTACATCCAGTGGTTACTGATTAGCCAAATTGACACATTTTTGTACCTGAGTAATGAGTGGAGAGCAGTGGAGAAGAATGTAGGTCCAGACTGAAATCCCACCTGACCTCCCCCAGAAGGCTCAGGCTTAGTCCAATAAGACCCTGGATTTTCTCAGATAACTTTTTACCGGGCTACATCACAACTTATACTGCATGGCATGTTCAAGATTTCAGCTAAACAACTGTTGGACCAGTCAGGAACAACCTTCTGATGGATTTGCACCACTCTGGTCTTTTTGGGGTCTTTTGTTTCTTTGTGACGTTTGGGGCATTAAACATGAAAAGTGTAAGTTTTTCAGCAGAGAAAATGTGGACATCAAGAATCTAAAGCGACTCAAATAAGCACTAACAGGCTGGCAGTGGTGACAGCATCCCTCCCGCCAACCCCTTACCAACTCATATGCTATAAGCTTTATTTTCTACATATTTTTATTTCCTTCTTTGAAAAAAAAATAATAATAAGCCGCTCAACGCTGTTTACCAAGGCTTCATGCTTTCATGTGCACACGCTTTAGTGTCTAAATGCTGCATTTGATTTTATGAAGGTAGAACTTGATATACCCTAAGTGTAACATAGTTCATACAGACATAAAGTGTCACCGACTTATACTGTGACCTATGTTATTGAAGTTTAATTTCAGTATGCCTTTTTTGACTTTACAGGAAGAAGTGAAGATAAAAATCAAGGACTTAAATGAACACATTGTGTGTTACTTGTGTGCGGGATACTTCATTGATGCAACAACTATTACTGAGTGTCTTCATACCTGTAAGTTTTCTGCGCTCAAACTGTGCACTGTCTCAGGTGTGCCAGCCATTCTCTACTATGTGCATTCTGCTCAGTACATTGTTTATGAATCATGGCTTATTGTTTTTCTTTTCTTTCTAGTTTGCAAGAGTTGCATTGTGAAATACCTCCAGACCAGCAAATATTGTCCAATGTGTAACATCAAAATTCATGAAACGCAGCCCTTGCTGAATCTTAAGCTGGACAGAGTAATGCAAGATATTGTTTACAAACTGGTCCCAGGGCTACAGGAGAGTAAGTACCCTTGCACTTCACCAGACCTTCCGCAATGAAAAATCACACAAGTTATGTGATATTTAATGTCTATGATCTCTTCTTGCGTCTCAGGTGAAGACAAGAGAATCAGGGAATTTTACCAGTCAAGAGGCCTCGAGCGCATAATACAGCCGTCGGGAGATGGTAATAAGGTTCATGTTCAAGCTTACAGAAAAGGAATGTGAAAGCTTTGCTATAAACCTGAATACCCTTTTCAATAATCTATTTGTTTTATGTGTGTTCCTCATAGAATCATTACCAGACAATACAGGATTACCGTACACCAGCTTCGATCACTCTAAGGCCCATTTCTACAGATATGATGAGCAAGTCTCGCTCTGCCTGGAGAGACAAAGGTATAGTTATATGTGACCCGTCCTTTTTTTTGGCGGGGGGGTGGGGGGTGGGGTGGGCTTATTCTGATTAAAAGAGCCCTGCTAGCTATTCAGCTTTTATCCTGCATGTCATCATAGGATCACAAGACAAGACTGAACCATTTTATAGTTTGTCAAGTATTCACCTGTCTATTGTACACATTCATTGTCAATAAATAAATAAAATTTAAATTCAAACCCTTACAAATGGTCAAATTTAGTTTAAAAGGCAATGCCACCTTATACACAATCTATGTGAAAATATCAAGGCTAATAAAAAATTATAGTGGAAAAGGATCTGAAACACTGTCAATGCAGTGAGAAGCAAACAAAGACGAGAACATAAATTGATTATTGCTGTGGCATATTAATGACATTTGTATTTTATAACAAAGATGAATATGAGGGTGAACTATGTTTGATATTTCGTATTTTGTCTTATTGGTTAAACCTGTAAAATCTTGGAACAATTAATTTTTTTGCAATTAGTCCTCCAGTTACAACAAACTGTGGTAAATTGGTCACAGATGTTCTGTTAATTCTTTGAATTTGTAGGAATGATTGTAGTCATTACAATTTATTTACTTTCTGAGTGTAGTTTTGAGGTATAAGGGATAAGACTAGATGAAAACTGGAAAAATGACTGTGATGGAAAAGCCTGCTATTTTGAGGATATTTCAGATTATGGTAAACATTATTTAGAACTTTTGAGGAGTAACTGAGCTTTGCCAGACAGCGATATGAATTATCATTGAAAGAACCATGAAAAAGAAAAGGTAAGACCTTTAGGTTATTCAAGAAAGACCATAGCAATAATGAATGAATAATGAAAACAGTTATTAAAACTGTAAAGGAAAGAAAGAAACTGCATATTGTCTGCATATTGCATATATCCTAGAGATTGAAGTATATTAGTTCAGTATTCACAGAAAACTTTAGGAGGAGAAACACAGCAATGACAAAATGTAAACCCCTTTTAGCCACGAGCAGAAAAAAGCCAGACTGGAATTCGCAGAGATAAACCAGATGAGATCTGGAATGGTTTTATAGACGGGTGAGTTGAAGATAAAGCTCTATTAGAGTGATAGAAAGGGAAAACCATGGAGGAAGACGGACGGCAAATGACTAATGAGTCAGAACTGACTCACTGCTCTTTAGTGATGCCATAAGCAGCACGCATAATGAATTCTGAAGTTTATAGAAAATTTTGGTCCAAAAATGCCTCCAGACTCATTCATTGGGAGTTATGGCACACATGACCAAGTAGTTATCATCAGAAAAGGAAAGTGGAAAGTTTTGCACTGGCTAGGTCAGTCTTCTGATTGAAATCCAACTGTGCACGCATTTGTCATATTAAAGACAAAACTGAAGTGAAAAGCCTCTGTAAGTAGTAGCAGCTGAAAGAGTCTGCCATTAAATCTTGGCAAAGCACATTAAAGTAAGAGACCATGAGTCTTGTGATGTTAACAGGTCATGGACTTGAGGTAAGCATCTAAAGTGTGTGAGACCATATTAACTTATAGACTTAAATTTGCTGTAATTTTTTTGTCCATTTTTTTTTTTTTACTCATGAAATTGGGGAATATGATTGACTTTGAATTGAATTCGCATGAATATGCAAATAACCGATTTTCTCCTCTGTTCCAGTATTTTAAAAAAATAATATTTTAAAATTAAATATTACTATGTTATTCTTTCAAGTAATTTGTCAATGTTTATATCTGTAGTTGCTTTTTACAGTCACCATTGTTGTGGAACACACGTCTATATATCAGTACCAGTCATATGATGATATAAATTCTGTAGCACACACCCTCAAGTAAGTTATACTAAGATGCACTAGATGGAAGTCAAAGAAACAAAAAGTATTGAATAGTCCATAAATTAATAGATTCTGAGTGCTATATTTATTAGGCATGCAGTAATTGCAAGATTATTTTTTATAGTCAAACAGATGTTTATACTTAATGTGCCATTTTAGTTGGACAGAGTTTGTGTTTCTTTGCCTGTTAATATGCAAAATATGAAATGCTGTTATTCTCTCCTCATTCACTCATGTTGAAGGCTTAACATCTTGCCTTCTGTTAGGCTGAACTTCTATCTCTACACCCTGTACACTGTCTTGCCACCTGGACTTCTGGTCCCGTCTTCTAGTATTTTTCTGTCAGTAGCTGTTGTTTATTCTGTATTTGAGAGGCAGTTCCACTGTTTTGTACTCTGATTTATAGTGAAGCATACTTGCTATATAATGTAATATATTGATTAATTATATTTATTGTATTCGGTTTGTCCTTACAGCTCATCTTTGTCTGGAAAAGACAAAAATAAATTAACTCTACAGGTAAGACACAATAAACAAAGAAATAATTGTAACATTCTTATGAATGTAATGCATGTTATGGTTTTCATTTTAAATGTTTAATGTGAGTGCATGACATCAATATGGGTGTACAGTAAAGTAGACCTTAAATAAGGCTCTTTTCAGTCGTGATAAAATGTCTTCTCTCTCGTCTCTGCAGCAGAAGTTTGTGCGTTGCTCGGTCAGAGCGGAGGTCAGGCACTTGAGGAAAGTGTTGTGCCATCGACTCAACGTAGACAGGAACCAGGTCTGCCCCTTAAATCTTTTACCAAACTGAAGTGAGCTCATTTTTATTCAGAATTGGCACGAGGTAATCTAGAGGCATTGGTTCAGAAGGGCTTTTAATTCATGAATTCACACGTGAAAACCCATGAATTCACCAAATACAAAGCTAACTAATGTAAACATGACGTATAATTTACAGAATACTATCGCACAGTAAACATATCTATGCTTTTCCATGATTGTTGGCATTTGTCCACCACATAATTAACATATACATGTATGTATTTATGTATGTTTTTACACTGCATTAGATGATATAAAACTTACTGCATACCCCTATTAAATGCCTGCTATAATGGCATGTTCATTCAATGTATAAATGCCATTATTTAGTAATTTATAAGTACTTAATTATTGCTAAAATATTAACACTGTTTAGTAATTTAGTAATACTAATTTTGCACTTTGCATCTTTAATAGACTCACATTGAGGTTCAAAGGAGCGCAAGGGCAAAGCTTTCAAACTTCCAAATATAACTTTTCCAAACTGCTAAGATACCAAGCATGTAGTTTTAGTTTATTTGTGGCATTAAAATAAAGAAATATAAAACAATGCTTTGCTTAAGCACATATTAAAGATGCATGCTGTCTTATAACATGAATCACTTAACTGTAAGTTTTTCAGCACTGAAACAGAAACCTTTTTAAGGTTTTTTAGCTCTGTTCACTTTGTCATCCATGCTCCATTACCTTAATTCTAAACCTCTTGGGTGGGCTTACTGTGGAGGAAAATTCCTTAACAAAACCTCGGCTATTAAAATAAGTGTTTTGGGGTGGCTGACCGTGGGGTGCATTTGGATTACAAACGGAGCTGAACTTATTATTTAAGATGTGCCAATATTGCTTATTATTATTGTTATTATTATTATTATTATTATTATTATTATTATTATTATTATCATTATTATTATTTTATTTATTTTACTTTTATTAAATCCTGTAATAAAATTCATATAATAACGGCCCTGCCTTTCTCACTCCCTTCATCTCCTTTGCCTCTTACACCCCTGTTCTCTTCTCTCCCCCTTCTTTCCACTCTTCTCTGTGTGGTCTTTGTTGTGCTAGGTCCAGATGTTATTTAATAATGAATCCCTACCAGATCACATGACAATGAAGCGCTTGTGGTTGTCTCACTGGTTTGGAAAGGTACTTCCATCTTAATCTCAAACAGCATTCTTCCACAGTTTCAGTGTAATAACTCTTTCTTTAGACATTATGTTTATTCCTCAAGCGTTTTACAATACTCAAAATTCTCAAGCACGTTTCCTCTCATAAATAGAAGAGACGCTTGACTTGACAAAATAAGAGCCGGATGTATGCTTAGGGTTTGTGGTCTGTTAAATATTGATATGCTTCATATGTTTTATAATGTGAACGCATGGAGTTTTACTTACATTCAATGTTTAAGGTTACTATAATCGGCTGGTTTGGGGACATGGAAGGGATGCAAAGATTCTGTTGCTGATCGTGTTCACTTATTTTTGGTGTTTATTTGTTATTTTTTCTCTTTACTTTTTCAGGCTCAACCACTGGTTCTCCACTATGCTATCAAGGACAAGAGGACAAGATAGGATTGTGTAATAGTATCAACTGGTGTAAATATTTTGTATTTCACATAATCTATTTTAATAGGTTTTTCTGTGCATATATACTTATTTTTTTGTTTTGTATTTTTGAAAAATAAATTTAAATGTAAAAATGTCTGTTGTCCATGTTTGTCCTTATTAGGTCAGCTAAAAACCAAGGATGTGTCTGTCAACAGTTAGCTTGGTATTTCAAAGCAGGATCAGTTTAGCAAGACAACGTAAGCCTAAAGTCAAGATTGTGCAGTAGAAGGGCATGTTTGACAGTCCTGAACTTTGGGCTTTGTGAAATACCCCTCTGGTCTGAACTTTGAGATTTCAGCAGTGGGCAAAAAATACAGAGCAGTGCAATTATGAAAACAAACACAAGGGGGCTGTATTGCTGTTGCTGTTGTGTACTAGCCAATAGCTCATAGATGGACTAGGCCTACAGAAAAGGTTCGATGCAAATGAAGCCTGGTAACATTTTACGGATATTTTGACTCAAATTTCTGCAGAAATTTTTGCGCCCATCACTATGAAGTAATCACATACAAATCCTAAACCACTGACTATTTTATCTTTCTGATCTTATCTAGCTGTTCCCCAAATGAAAGCGAGGGGAAAAAGGGCCAAAATATTCGCCATCCCAGTAATTTCATATAAAGGGGCTTTTTTTTATTAATGCGCGACCAGACGTGAGTCAAAGAAGATTATCAAGTTATATTTGAGCCATTTCCTCAAAACTGATGAATACATGTTTAGAAAATTAAGCTCTCGAACTAGTAGAGACTTTTTTTTTAACTTTTCTCTAGTAGCGTTATTTTTCTCTTATTGAACTAAGCTCTTCGGTGTAAATGTCATTTAAATAAATGTCGATTCCGTAGTGTAAAATAAATGTATGTATTTATTTTTAACCCGTTTTAATCTGGTACGTCGTCTTACACGGTACGTCAGTCATAGAAACGTGTTCAGTTTAATGCCTTGTCAGTAAGTGAAACCTAAATAGTGAATGGCTAATTCGTCTATTTATCTGTTTAAGGCCACAACTTTTCCGTCGCGTATGATTTTAAAACAGGCGCAAACAATTTTTTTCTTTTTATTTATTTTCTCATTCATTATTTCTTCATTTTTTAGACTACATTTAACACAATGTAGACTCAGCTTTGTCGAATCAGTTGGTCAGTTACCAAATGAGTATGAACATATCTGACTACAGCAACGGTCCACATAATAGTCTGATGGACCTATACTGTACCTATACATAACGTATAATGCATTACGTGTGTGTATGTATGTACGTATATATATATATATATATATATATATATGTGTGTGTGTGTATATATATATATATATATATATATATATATATATATATATATATATATATATAAACCTATAACTTAATGTAGATATTTTTGTTCTGGTAACTTGCACGGTGCGGGCAAGTTAATGGTAATAAATGCTTATTACATGTATTTATTCATGCTCAAGTATTTCAACGTTTCCACAAGATTACAGTGAGCAATGTTCTTGTATGTGTATATGTATGTATGAACTCCAAAACAGTCCCATAAATTGGCACATCTTGAACAATGGCCAGTTGGTGGTGTTAAATTGTATTGAAAATGTTCCTGAAGTGAATTGTATTTAGATCAGATCAGTACAGATAGACAGCGGCCCCGCTAACGGGGGCAAGTTTTGATTTTCGTCTAATTAGTTAAATTTGCACGTGGACATACACAGGCTGACCGCACTGCTTACTCAGGTGAGTTCATCCAAAACTTATCTCAGCGAATTTGAAAAACAGTCGAGCTCCACACAGGGCAGGAGAAGAGACGGAGAAGCCGGACTCTGCTGACCCCTCAGCGGAGACCTATTAGTGAAGAAACGCTCATAAAACTCCTAACTTGACTTTTCAACCCCTACTATTCCGAGTGATTAAACCAATTGTGCCTCTGCGGCTCTCTTTCTCTTCCCAGACTCAAACTTCTGCCTTGATCTGCTAACAACTGCTACAAATGGAGCCCGAGCTGTGGAGCAGACGGCTGCTGGGGCAGCGCAGCGCGGGCGCGGACAGAAAGAGGCGGCAGTCCTCCCATTTCTTTTACTTTCCTATTGAGGTTTATTCATTAGGAGCCTCATGCTAATCAATTGCTATTCATGGGCGTTTTTTCAGCAGCCGCGTTTAAAGGGGCGCAGATGCGACTGGGCCTGTTTCTATACGGGCAAAGGCGGGTTAACCTAATCAATCATGCTGACTGGTTTGGGCTGGAGAAAATTCATAAACCATATGTCGCCAAGGCGAAAGCAAGCTTTTCGTTGCCAGCCCGAAGCTCTAAAGGCCTTGTGACAATTGTGTTTTTTTGTGTAAGGGGTGTTGGTGTTTGGGTGGGGCTGTTCAATTGCCCCTAATTGAGCTCGAACCACTTAACACACACAAAGAGTTACCATGAGAAGAGAACACGATTTGTTAAGAGAGGCTCCAGTGTTTGGCTCTGTTGTCAAACAGGTCTGTGGTGTGTTAACGCTGATGTTAATCCCCTGTGTTAAGTAGACGCGCGGACACTGTATCCACACCACTATGGAAAAGAAAGTGAAACAAAAACAAAAGAAAAGAAAAGGAACCATCACTCAGGTCATGCGCTGTTCCTGATTAATATGCCCTGCACGACGCAGAAATGCGCTCAGATTATAACTTCACTGCAAACAGTTTGAAATATCATATACCCTTTATTTACATAATTGGTGATTAAATAGAATGATACAATAACTTTATCGCGTTAAATGCATCGGTGATTTATACACACAACCTTCCCCTCATTATTCAACTAATTTGGCCATGAAGATCAATTCAGTTTCTCATAACAGTGGCTTTCCATCCAGCGTTGAGGGTCATTATTAGAAATATATCAATAACTCGGGAGAAAACGTTTCAGCAATTGTTGCTCAGCCCCAAAAATCAATTGGCCTTCGCTTTTGTGAATTCTTGTCAAACAGTAAGCCTTTGCCCCAAATGACATTTTTCCTGACACTGTATAAATATAAATATGTCTATATATTTGAGAAATTTGTTGGGAAAAAAATCACATTTGGCAGATACGTATCATTAGCAGCTATAACATTCATGTAAATTGTGTGATGGCGTTGGCGACCTGTGTAACAAAACAATTGCACGAGTTTCCCCTCAAAGTATGCGCGAAATAATACTTAAAAATGTACATACACATGTTGCAGTCGTGATCCTGTATCACAATCACTACATTTCTCACATCCTACTGAATGAACATGTACTCCGTGAGCACGTCCTCAGTCTCAAGCGTGGACATCTCGAAGGCTTTTACAATCCTTGCAATAAATTAAAACATGAGAAAGAGAGAGAGAGAAAGAAGAAAAAAACATCCTTTCTGTTTCAAGTTCTTCCGCAGAGTCAACGTCCGTGCAAAAGTCGTGAAAAATAAAGAAAAAAATGCCCATTTCTGAAAGCGTGGGCCCACTTTTTCAATCGTCCACTTCGATCTCTTCCTCCTCCTCCTCGGAGAACTCGTCTGTGGTTTGGCCTCTGGAGGAGGACGGGGACTGGGGGAAGGCTCTGTGGCCGTGCGAGGAGGGTGATAAACTGGGCGAGATTGGGCCAGAGCCGCCCTGAGCATCGTCCATGTCTTCCATGGCCACCAGTTTCTGCAGAGTGTGCGGGGGGATTTTCTTGAGGGACTCCACGTCCGCCTTCATCTCCTCCAAGTCTCTCTTGAGCTTGGCGCGCCGGTTCTGGAACCAGGTGATGACCTGCGCGTTGGTCAGGCCCAGCTGCTGGGCTATCTGGTCCCTGTCGGCCGGGGACAGGTACTTTTGATACAAAAAGCGCTTCTCCAGTTCATAGATTTGGTGGTTGGTGAAGGCCGTGCGGGACTTCCGTCGCTTCTTCGAGGCCTGTCGCTGGCCGAAGGCGTTCATGTGTTCACGACCTTCAGATGGAGAGAGAAAAAAAGGAGTTGTGAGTGTTGATCCGCGTGGGAGTAAGGCACCAGAGTGGGGACTGAAATGCTTCTCGTGCCTATATGCGGCTGTGCTGTAGCTATTGTGTGCTTAGGCCGCGGTTGTGCGGTCCAGCTGCGAAACATCTGTTCTCAGAGAACAAAAAGGTGGAAAGCTTTGCAAAACAACGCTATTAATTGCCAAGCATGTTCGAAAAATTTTACGGGTCAATCAAGAGTGCGACGGGGCACTTCAGGTCAACCAGCGATGGACACCATATATACATGTACACACAGCCTAATGACATATATCCTACTGAGAGGTTATCAAGGACACTCAGGTTGCCGTGCAGAACTATTTCACGGTGATTAGCCACGTTACAACATGTGTTCTCTTCATCATAATAATACAGAAATACTTGGCATGACGTCAAAACTCTGACACAAACACAGCGGCACGTGGAAAAAATGTACTCAAGTAAATTAATAAAAAGAATTGCGAGCCATAAATTGCAGTAAAATACTGGGATATGGTTAATAATATTTTAGATAATTTGGCACTAATAATTTAATAAGAATTTAAAAAGAAGACTAACCACATTCAGAGAGCATCTACGCAATATGGGCCTAAATTCATAAAATATTATTGGATTTTGTAGACATTTTCCTTTAGCCAAATATCAGATATGTAATTAAAAGTGTATGTAAAAAATAATACACTCGGTCATTTGACGATTAAACACACTCTCACACACAGAGAGAAATATTATCAGTAATATCTACGTACAATATGAACAAAAAGAAAAATAGTAGAAAAAATTCAGTCCAAATAGAAAAACTAGTCCAAATGTTTTGGGCTACTTTACCTTCCGCCGCTTGTATAACGCTGACTTCAAGCCCTTTAAATGTTTTGCTCGCGAGCTCCTCCAGCGCGCACAGGGGCGAGGAGGGAGTGGTGATCCCGTTCCGCAGCGCGCTCGAGCCGCTCACTTTTTCTAGCACGCGCGGCGGACACAGGCTCGCCACCGACTTCTTCACGGAGGGCTTGTTGAGAATATCCTCGATACTGAAGGGGGTCAGAGGCTTGTTGGAGTTGGCAGGGGGCGGCAGCTGGTCCAAAGGAGCCCGTCTCCTGTCCTCTCCGCTGGACTG